TCTGAGCTGCTTTCACATATTTCCAAGGCATCATCACTTCCTTTGCAAATCCCTTACACGTTTCATTTTCCTACTGACTTCACACTTTTCCTGAAATGTATTTTACCTTTCTGCCAAAGCACATTTTTAAAACCAAGAGGTTTGGTTTCAGCAGCAGCAGTCTGTTAGCCCAAGGAGATTGGAAACACGCATCATGGCATATGGCTTGCTCTCGCTCTGGAGAAGACAAAGATAAATGTCAGGGTTCCTGGCCCCATGGACTTAGATTACAGACGGGGAGATAGGACTCAACAAAAAGGATGCTGTGTGTCAATACAGCTAACAGAAGCCGTCGAACTAACAAGAACCAGGCTTTGTGTAAGGAATGGTACTCGTTCCTTAATTTGTACCTGCTTTCTAATGTTGCTTGTAAGTTTGAGTTAGAATAACTACTTTAACAATTTTAGCAAAGTGCTTATGGATAGTATTCATTAATTGTGAGGGGTTATACTATTACTGGCTGCTCATGAGCACACACATATTCTGGGTGTCCTCAGCTTTTGACTTCTCTTCTCTCCCCTCCCCTCCTCTCCTCCCTTTCTTTCTCTTTCTCCTTCTGTTCTCTCTTCCTCTCTTATCAGTATAGACCCAAATGCTGCTGCAAGGGGGAAGTAGAGCACTTTTTATGCAGCAACAGAGATAAACTCAGATTTTTATTTATGAGCATTTGAAAGATTTTCAACCTATGAACCCACTATTATCCACCGTGCCACATAGCACCACTTTGCACACAATGCTGGGAGCCCTCAGCCGATGCGTCAGTTGTGTGCTCTTGTGTTAGGATTCTGGGCAACTCAAAATGTCTCTGGCTCACACAGGTTTCAGCACATGTGTTGAGCAGTCTCTTCAGACATCTGCACTTTGTCTTTGCATGTGGAGCCTGTGGTAGAAAAAGGAACATGGCTGTGACTGTGTATAGGCTCTCGTTGGAGGAATACTCGATCTGGTGGGTCATATTATCCCGCAGATCATTGGAGCTTAACTCAGTTATAAACTTGCGTTCATTGGTCTCTGACTTCAGGTCAGTTGTCATGTAGGCACTGGAGATTCAGAAATGAAAATGGCTCCACATCTGCTCTTGGGTACCCATGGGCTCACAGAGCAGAGAGAGGCACAGGGGCAGGCTCTGGTAATATAAAATTGTTACTGACAGGAGCAGGTGCAGAACACAGTGGGAGCCCACAAGAGCGATACCTCGCCAATCCTATCAGCCGGGGAAAGCTTCTGAGGAGGTGGCACCCAGTCTGATTAGCAAGGTCCTGTAAAGGTTTGCCTCATGAAGGCCAGGACGCAGGGAGGATTAAGGAGTGAGGAGAGGATACTATTCCATAAGTTCTTTCTTGTTTTGTTTTGTTTTGTTTTTAAGAAATATAATGAAACAAGGTAGGGACACGCAAATAATCTTTCCTGTTTTGAACATTGTTCCTGCTCTACTCCCTTTATAGGTGAAAAGAGAAGTATCTGCTCACAAAAGTTCTTTCATTAGTCTCTTCTAGTAGACATAATTAAGGAGAAAAGGGAAAGGCACACATTTCAAACCAGAGACCTCCTCTTTGGCCCCATCCTATCACAGGCAATGCAGAAATCCTCAGAGCTGCCCAGAATGACATTAGCACCTACTGAACACAGCCTGGAATGAAGGATGACTCCGAATTTCATAGAGCAATAGAGCTGATCTTAAATAAGGGAGCAACTACTACAGAATTGTTTAATCACTCACCTGAGATAATTTTTAAAGATTTCCTAAAAATTCTACCTAGAGGATAAAGGTAACCTCCAAAGATCTGTGAGTCCTAAATACTTTACAAGACTATTTTACTGCTTCAGTTCTGGTCTGGTTCAACCCTCCCTACAATCCTGGAGTCCATCAGGCAAATCTTTTCAGAACCTTGATAATTAGGTTGAGTGTCACCTCCTCAGAGTTCTCCATATGTTGTGACTTTCTTGGACCATCCTTTATTTCTTTCCATATAATTTTAGATCCTGTTTCAAATGGCAAGTTTCAGACAATGTTGGTCTGAACCATTTCTGCTCCAACAGAACACAGTATACGTTTCCAGCTATCGTTACTACGTTTAGTAACTTAACTGCACATGTGTATAATTTGCTTAAAAATATATGGTCTTCTCTAGAACAAGAACTGTTCTTTTCAGTTTATATTCTCAGCATATATTATAGGAATGAACGATGAGGGGAGCATCTGAGGTCCTTCAAGTAGACGTCAAAAATATTTTGGGTGGTTCATAATGGTGTATAATAAAAGAAAGGTTGCATCTAGTAGACAAACAGTTTTATACTTTAAGCAACTAATATCAATTTCACCTATTTATTCAAAATTCATTTATAATTTTATTCAGCAAATACTTGTGAGCATATGTGGTAGGTAATTGGACAAGAATTGGACCTATGAAAGTAAATACCACCAATAAGGTTGCACAAAATAATAGACAAACAGAAAAACACACAACTATACAGCAGCTGAGTTGTGATTGGAGGACCATAGGGAACTAGGAGAACACCTACCATATGAAGATTTCTCCAGATACGTTGTAAAACAAGCTGAATATAATGACTACCTCTGAACTCACACTTAAAAATGGTTAAAGGGTTGATTTAAAATATAATAAAATTATGTCGTGTTTTTACCACAAATGTTTGAAGGAGCTTTAAAAACTGGGAGTTACAATCTATTTACACAAGGGCTGGGGATTTAGGTCAGTGGCACAGCGCCTGCCTGGCAAGCGGTAGGTCATGAATTCAATTCCTGGTACTGGAAGAAAAACAAAAAAAACAACAGCGATCTAGTTACACAATTGCTTAAGTGACAGTGACTAGAAAAATAACTCAAAGTAACAGAGCTGATGGAGACTTGACTGTGGATAGTGTCAGTAGTGGACACTGTGGGGAGCTGGGGTGGGAATAGGACGGAGTAGATTAAAGAATTATTTAGGATACCATTAGGCAGATTCAGAAACTTGTTAAATGGACATGTAGTAGAGGGTACAAGAGAAGAGAGAAGCTGGCTGATGGCGGCTTCTCTGACCCTGGTGATTCCATGGTTAGTGCCTCCGTGAGGGAGAATTGAGAAGGGCAAGATGGTATGAAGGGAGGTGGGTTTTAAGCCAGAGAAACTCAAATGTCTGTGTGCCGCGTTACTCACTGCCGCTGACAACGACTGATCAAGACTAAATGGAAAATGGTAACACTTGGTTTTGAGGCAGATTACCTTCTCAACTTCTTCACAGGGCTAGAAGACGAGAAGTATGCTATATTTAGTTCACAGAAACGTGCTCACCTCATTTTGTCGGTGTTCTCAGTAATATTTTTCTACCAAGCGGCCCATAGCTGTCAGATTTGGGCTTTATCTCCTTATGAGGGTGGAGGAGGACTGATGATAGTAGAAGGAAGATTCAGGTTCAGATCCTCTGGGCTCTGATGACTCCGGGAGTCTGGACAATCACCTTAACTTTTTCGAGTATTAGTTTCATCACAGGTTAGATGATACCTCATGGCTAGGGATGCTTGCAGTAGAAATGAGAGTTCTTTGTAAACTGTACTCTTGAAATTGTTAAATGTAATTTGTTTTGAGATTAATACAACTTTGGACGTTACAGAAAAACTCCTTGAAAATACAAGTACCGATAATGAGTTTCTGATCAAAAACTGGGCAATAAATTGAATCACTAACTCTGGGGAGGTTCTCATTACTGTCAAATTTTGAATCACACTGAAAGGTGATGTCCAAGAAAGCAAATATCTCAAAATGAGTAAAAAGTATCGGCATGGGTTTGTAAGAAGACATGGTTTTAGTAAGTGATGTGATAACTGTTGGTGTTAACAATAATCTTGCACTTAAAAGAGATTCTATGTAGCTGTTAAGCCTGAGGTGAGGTAATAGCAGTATATTAATTCCTGCCCCAAAAACCCCTGTGTCATTCACATGATACAAAGGCAAAGCAAGGCAAACAAACACATTATTAGCTGAGTTGGGGATCAGCATAGAATGGTCTTGTTTTCTTTGTGACTTAAGCCAACAACCTTGAAACAATGGGACTTTAAAGAAACATCTCCAAAGCAAAAGCAATGAGAAGCAGGGAGAGAAGAGTGAACTGAATCCTGGCCGGCACTGATGATAGTTAACTCTATGCCCAAGATGTGTCCTCTCAGATCGTTTCCTGTCCTGGCCTCTCTCAGACAACTTTCTGAGATTTGCTTAGAAGGTTCAAGGCATGGCTTAATGTTATGGGCATATAGAAAGAAGATAGTTGAAGCAAGATGAAATGGAAACAAGAGAGAAGGAAATACTATCTTATCTCAAGGAATCATTTAAGTGGAAGCTGACCCTTTGATATTGGAAGTCCTTCAAAGCTAACTTCATTTCTAACTATTGTCATCTTTTGTCCAGGAATCCAACTAAACCAAATAATATATTCACAGGGGATGAAATAAAGGAGGAGTACATTCTCTTCCCTTTCAAACTAAGAAAAAATATAGGTGGCACATTTTTTCTCATTTCCATGTGAATTTAAGTCTTTTACAAATTCTAAATCAAACTTAAATTTTCTGAATAGGGTATTTCTCAATTCTGTTTTCTTGCATGGCCATTCTTTCTTCTTTATCCCCATGACCTAAGATTGTAGTTCATACTTAGCTACTCAGCTCACTTGGAAGGGTACTTCCTCCTCTTCTTAAGGATTTTCCTCACTTCCTTTATTACCAACCTTCTGTAGTTGGTAAACAGAAGGAGCACATCACCAGGCAAGGGTGAGTCACTAGCATCAGTTGATACTGATGTTCAGTTCAGTTCCATTCAGCGGGTATATGGTGATTGTCAAACAAGTATACAGTAAAGTCTGCTTGATGAAGTAAACAATAGACACACAATAATGAACTTGGAATGCGAAGTTGGACTATATCCTTTGCAAACACTGATACTTTGTCTTTTTTTTCTTTTTGCCTAGAAGTATCGCTATCAAGATGAGGATGCTCCACATGATCATTCCTTACCTCGGCTAACCCATGAAGTGAGAGGTCCAGAGCTCGTGCATGTATCAGAAAAGAACCTGTCTCAAATAGAGAATGTCCACGGATATGTCTTACAGTCTCACATTTCCCCTCTTAAGGTCAGTTAGATTTTTCTTTCAATCTCATAGCTGGTGATGCTGAAGAGTATTCATTGCTAATGGAGCTGTTTGCTGCCCTGATTAAATGAAGCTCTTTTAAAACATAATGGTGGATGTTGGTTGCCAGAGAGTCTTTCTGTAGTTTGGAAGCTAACGTTGTATTTCTGGGACATATTGTTATTTGAATGCCTGAAATCCTTATAACTGCTGAGAGTGGGTAAGGAAAGTGGCAAGGTTGAATGATTGAAAAAGAAAATAAGCCATCTACGTTTTTAAAAAGGGGGAGGCTACATCATGGTGTGGCTCAAATGCTATCTTTCCATCGCATTCCAAGTCCAGATAAATTAAAGGATGTAAATATATCATGATCACACCTACTGATTGCTTTGCTATCTGAACTAAGAGGGAAAATGTGTGAGTTGGCTCATCAGCGACTTTATTTTATCATACAAGAAGTTGCTTACAAGAATTCTACTTGGTGTTATGCTGTTTCCAACACTTTCTGCCTTTTTTATTTATTTTAAAGATATCCTTGATAGGGTGTTTTGAAAATAATGGCTAATTAAATGGAAGTAAGAATTTTCTGTGCTCCTTGGTTGCCTATTTCCATAATGAACTGGTGCTACTGGGCTTCATGCATTGAATAAAAAAACTTACAAATGCTAGTATAAGTTTAAAAAGGAAAACAGAAATAGAATTAATGCTGTATCTTACCCCTGCCACAAGTCAAAAAAATGTTTAATTATGTTCTTTATAGTTCTAAACTTGGGTACACTTTAAGCACTCTGGTGTCCTGAAAATCTTTTATCAATTAAGCCGGTTGTAATTGTCATCTATAAATTAAAATATTAGGTCAATGGTCAAATCCCAGTAAATACAATGTAATATGTAAAAATAACGGAATTTTGCTCTTCTACACTGGGTACCTTTAAGAGTTTCTCTGGAAATCTTTGAATGACTGATGGAAATGAGTATGTTTAAAGTGGTGGAGAAAAGATTCAGAGCTGGGGGATAGGCGACTTCCCTTCCCACATTAGGAGCTGTGATGGGGAAAACATGGCACGGGTGTCACACACAGTGCAAAAGCAGATCCTCTGTGCCTGACTGACAGGAATATATATTTGAGATAATTGTAATCCCATAATTCCTGATAGGTTGAGCTACCTAAAAGAGGTGGAGACTGGTTTTATAGAAAGAACTCCTTTAGCATGTGCGTGAACAAAGTGATCTTTTAAATCTAGGGATCAATGATTCTTTTCCGTGTTAAGATAAATATATTTCTTCTTTAGGGACCCTTCCATCTTTGAACACAAATGTTGAGCCCTGCTGTGTATACTGACCACCATAAGTTGAGAAAGGGCTGAGGTGAGACTGGATTTCATTGAGAGCACTTACACTTGAGGTTCATTCTTTAGGATGGCTGAAAGACTCCCTGTAAGAACCTCTGTGGAGCCTCCTTTTCATTTTTTCCTCATCACTATCCTTCCTCTTGCCCAATGGTTCTCTGTAGTCAGCCCTGTAGCAGAGCTTCTGAAAGGCTTTAGGCTGCAGAGGAAAATGAAAGTTAGTCTGAAGCTAGCTGGTTACAGAAACAAATATAAAGAAAACAATAAAAGCAGCCAATTATGGGATCTTTATTTTGAATTAGATCTTCAGCTTATACGTGATAAATAATCATCAGAACTTTCAACAACTTTGAGTGAGCAATTACACTGCCATTTGCTATGCGGCTCAATACTTATTTGGGAAATGCTAGCATGAGGGGAAATGTTTCCTTTTTTGAAGATTTTATATATATCTGATGGATATATCAGATATGTATGATATCTGAAGATTAGCTGATATTCATATGGGTATATATCCATGCACAGATATACGGATATATGTTAACTTTTCCTTTCTCTGCTTTATCTTGAGCCTTGCAGGAATCTCAGAGTTAAATCCCTTCAACATCAGTTTTCTCTTACCTTAGGTTTTTGCTTCTATGTATTTCCTTTCTAACTTCTTATTCCCTTCTTTTTGAAAATTTTATTAGGTTTTGTGATTTTACCACAGTATTTTTTGTTAGTGCAGAATGTTTCTGTTCCTCCTGTGGTATTGGTAATGGACATAACACATCTAATTCTTTTCCGTCCCCTTTCCCCACTCGTCCTTCCACCTCCTCCTTTTCCTAATCTCCCTCCCGCTTGAGACAGATCTGTCTCCCTATTTCCTGTTATCTGTTGTTATGCTCTTTATGTATAATTTGAATTTCGCAAATAAGAGAAACCATGCAATATCTAAGCTCTTGTGTCCATATATATATATATATATATATGAGTAATAAACCCTGACTTGAAATACTAAGGTTGGAATAGGTTTTCGTAGATTTGGAACTGCCGGTTCATTGGTGTGGTGCCTAAGGATCTTTGAAGATGAAGGAAAAATTAGTTCATCTAGAGCTCCTGCACACAGGCCAGGAGGCAGATTTCGGGGAAGGTCAGACTTTTTCCTTGTGACTCTAAACAGGTGATCTTTATCTCTAAACAAGATACATTTTTTTTTTTTTTTTTTTTTGGTTTTTCTCCGGTACCGGGAACCGAACTCACGACCTTGCGCTTGCCAGGCAGGCGCTTTGCCGCTGAG